CATAAAAATCGTATCCTTTATGCGCAGAGAAAGGCATGACCACCCACGCAAAACGAACCCTTATTGCTAAAAAACTTTGAGTTGGCACTTCTAACTATATACGGGACAGTATTGCCATCTTAATCCTTCTACTCGGAGACAAAAAGAAAACCCTCTTTCCCTGACCTCTTAGCGACAGGTGGATACTTTAACTTTCGGGGATTCAACACTTCCTTATGGACAATTAGGTAGCAACAGTCATCATACCTCCCAGGTGGATGATGGTGATTTCAAGCCTCTTGAAGTCTTCTCAAGAAATACATTGGCTACGGAGGCTTTAAAAGATGCGCCTTCCTCCTTTTGATGCCCAAGCCGTGTCAAATTGACCCAGGGCTCGCTTTTAAACTCGTACCACGCGGGTTTTGTGGGGCCGATAAATACAAGCTTTAGATATAGCTCCACACATTTCAGTACCTACATCGTGCAAAAAAGAATCAGACATCAAATTGAAAAAAAAAATTGAATGTCAACACGGCTGAACATAGGAGAGACATATTAGGGTCCTGTTTCTTATCTTTCCCTCCGCATCTGAGTGACATCTAATTGGCAGCGGAGCAGAGTACTGCGATTTCAAGCTTCGCGGAATCGCGCCTTCAATTTTGCAGATGCAACACGGACATCCATCAAGTACGAATAGTTGTATGTCTGCGCCGTCATCAAAGAGCGTTTTTCCTCTTGCTCTGTTTCTGTATGATGAAGGAATATCTACGATGAAACTACCAGACCACGTATCTCGGTTTGCAAAATCGCAGACTTCCTGCAATACTCAATTCTTTAGATTTTTTTTTTTTTTTTTTTTTTTTTTTTTTTTTTTTTTTTTTTTTACTTCTTCAAATAGCCCACAAGGGCTAATCCCACGCTTTAAGTCCCATCCCCCCTCCGTCCCTACTGAACCAGTCCCAGGCAACCATTGTTTGAGACCATCAAACTCAGGTCGCCTGGCCGGGAATCGAACCCGGGACCTCCCGATCATAGAGCAAGCGCTACAACCACTACACCATAGAAGGCCTAGATGGAAAACTTCTCAACGTCAATTCTTGAAATGTTCGTGTTTTTTCCTTTTTATGTGAAGAAAACTCCGTGAAAATGTCAAGAAATTATATTTATTTGTTCTACTTCAGAAATATAAAATGGGAGCGGAGATTTTTAAACACCTCAAACGAGAAACGTGGTCTACTAGTTTCACCGTAGATTTTCGTTATTGTGAATTCAATGTCATTTTGATACATTCCAGGGAGCGTATACATTCTGCGTAGGTTAGTTCATAGTGCGTGTATTCCACACCTATCAGTGCAATGTAAAATTTAGCTTGACTCGCCAGTGTACTTTCTCTTTCTTGGGGATCGAAATCAATATTCATAATTTTTAAGCACGAAGTATAAAATTTTAAGTAACAAAATATTTGGGAACAACCTTACAAAAGATGATCAGGTAAAGATTACATCGTTGGTTCATGAAGGCAAAACTTCATTTTAAAAAAAAATCGTGTGGATGAAACAAGGTATAAAGTTTACTTCATTTAAGGAGGATTAACAAAAGGTTGCTCTCATTATTTTTTTTCGCAGAACACTGGATTAAAGGAAATGTCAATTGGAGCTGACTCGGTCTCGGTACCTTTCCCTGAATTTAATATGAAACAAAATTCATAGAAATCAAAATAGTAAACACCGCTACTTGACTTCCTCCTGTTATTTAATTGAACTCTTGAATCGAAATGAACCATCTAGCAATAAATATTATACAGTGCACGGTAATTAACTGACCTAAGTCCAGTTTTCATCGAACTAAACGGCAGCGATATGATTGCGCGAATGCCCCCTTTTTTACCTTTTTGGAGATGCATAGGATTGCGCGAATTTGTCTGCTACTGAAAATTCACATGTTTGAGCGAATATTCAAAATTCAACGAGAAAGCGTCAATCTGGCAACCCTGGTAGTTTGTGGTACGTAACGGCATCGCTGAAGACTGTTCCTCCTATCCTCACTTACGGGCATGTCTCTCTTCGATGGATAGCCCTCGCAGCACAAATGGCCCAGAGAGCTTTCATAGACATTTAAAAAGTGAACTAGGGGTATGCGGCCGCTACGCGACCGCCAACCACTGAAAATAATTACACGCAGAAAATCGTAGAACAACCATGTTCAAGTTTTTTAAGGGATGAATGGATTCAAAACCCGAAAGGTGCTCCCGAAAGAAAGCGTATATTTATCTCTGATTGCAACGTTATACACAACTTTTATGTTTTATTTTCAATAAATGTTTTTAAAAGATACACAAGGTTTTTTTGAAAAGTTTCCGCGAATTTACCTACATGATCTCAAATAAAAGCATTGAAAATGTTGACGCATTATTTTCGTCCGTTCTATTTTCATTTGATGTAACCCAAAAAAATTAAAAATCATCCAAGTTTCTGAATCGTTACATTGAGGATACTTTTCCCTTTAATTATGGTAAAAACTGAGCAGAAAGTCAAGAATAATGACACGCAGTTCTACTTCTACAGCATTCCTACATTCTTGTAGGCTCAAACTGACCGATTGCCCTGCGTTTGGCGCAATGCGAGAAGTATTCATGCAGTCCTGTAGGCGCTATACGCCGCCGCACTGTTTGGCGTAATGCATGAAGTATTCCGAAAGTCTTGCAGGCGCTAATATACGTTTAAAGCCGGCCGCACTATGTTAGGCGCGAGTATTCGAGTTAGAATAATCGCGGCATCGATTAATAGTGTTTAAAAGGCCCATGTTGTGTTTCGAAGCTGTATGAGCACTCCAACGTTGCCTCGTTTCTCCCAATTGAATATTTTTTCCGAGGAAAGTTAGTAAAATTCTTTATACTCACGACTATTATTCAATCTTCTCACTTTCTTTCATCAGAAGGGAAGACATCTATTACTTGTCAACAAACTAACCTGAACTAGCGTTAACCTAAAATTGCGTTTATTTTCCAACTATTTCATGTGTTGCCAAACTTCTATTTCAAATCAACTTAATTTTAAATCCGCGCATCCCTGTAGCAGATGTTCAAGTTTCTATTCGCGCAATCCTCATATATTTTCTTAGACCCTCCGCGCAATCCGCTTCCGCAGTTTCATTTGGGAAAAAACTAGGGCATCTCAAGAGGGCTACGGGGAGGAGGTGTTTGTATGCACTAAAAATCGACATTATCTCTAACAGAACAGGTTTATGCCCTTACTGTCCCGCCAGAAAGCAGTATCTGCTGGTGCTCTGTGTAAATTGTCACCTTTTCCTGCAGATCTCTAATTTTAAAATGTGACTGATTTTTATCAAAACCTCATCTCGCAAGCATGCAGAAGATATAGCATATTATTTGGTTATCTTGCCCATCATGAAACGAATAAATTCATTGATACATTTAATTACCGTGAAAAATTCGTGATCACTTAATCAACCGAACTATGTCTCGGAGTCTTCCAACTCATTGTTGACAACTTTACAAAAGTGAAGGGTTCATTCGATACATTTTTCCGCTCAGATGCTGCTAGGCTTCGATTCTCTGTACCTGATTTCAAGTCTCGAGTTAATCCACTCTCCGGTGGCATGGCAGAATTGCTGCCTCAGCTTTAGGCGGGTTCTTATGTTTCAAAGCTCATTTCTAAGAAATAACTAATTAATCGTAATTTTTAAATTAATACATTTAGCCAGTGTATTTAATTGTGATTACTTCCTTTGGTTATTTTATATTCAAGGGCATCATTGTGTAAATCGCGAAATTCTACCCAGTTGATTGAATTAAAAAAATCGGCTCTTAAAAATTCCATGTAAGTAATTTACTCATCACAAGTCACAACTTTAATAGTCAGAACATTTGGATGCACTTATCTTGATCCGTGGATGTGCGTTTCGTATGCATGTACAATTGAAGGCGCTCTGCTGTACCTCACCATCCTGACGAGCAGCTTACTTAAATTGAACAACTCGATGTTGGTCCCACGTTTTAAGGACCAGCAGTTTCATATGAAATTTTTTGTTTGTCTGGTGGACATGGATGACATAGCCGAAGCGCCGAATGCCGAAGCGTGATTGTTCGGCCATGTCTTATCGCTGCTATGTCGTGCTTTGTCGATCAGAATGGACGACAAACTAAAGGCACCTCTTGAGTTTCCGACTGTATGTCGTCCCTTCCAATCGACAAAGAACGACAAAGCATCGATAAGACGTTGCCGACCGATCACGCTTCGTCATTTAACCTATGTCGTCCATGTCCACCCGACAATTAAAAAATTTCAACAATCAGGCTGCTGGCATGTAGATTTGTCAGTTCACTTTGCGTAGAAGTGGATAATTAAGGTTACACCATACCTGAATAAAGAATAACCTGGGTATACAGTGATACTAGCGAAAAGCCCATGATTGAAGTCATGGGTCTAGATGCTTCACCAAAAATTATTAATTTAATAATGGGGATTACTTTTTTAGAATTTACCGAGGCATTAGACCGATATTGCTCCTAGGATGATACCACTATTCGATCACATGGGAGCTTGTTTTGCCTAAGTGAGCGTGCCATTTCGTGACGATACCGCCATTCGACCACGCAGAAGCTCCTGTTGCCTACACTGAAATTGAAGGCGAAATGAAATGACGTTAATTTAATCTTCACCAGTTTGGTGAAATGCTATTTTTGAAAAACGTTCCAAGTAACCGTGCATTTTCCGGTGATATTTTCCCATAGGTTTAAACGGCAGCTAAATCGACCCATCGCAAAGCACGCGACGGCAGTGGTCGCATCGGCCACGGCGCGTCGCGGCGCTCACGTCGACTTGTTGCCTCGCGGCGTCGCGGCGCCGCGGACGCAGGCGCGGCGGATTCAAAGCTCCCGCGTTTCCCGCCCTCCCTTACAACTCCTCCGCATTCCTCCCCTCGCCCCCGCCGCCGGCCATGGCGGCGGTTCATTGAGAAACGCGTGGGTGCCCTCTCGGCTCGGCGCCCGGCCACGGCCGCGGCCGCCCCTCACTCCCTCCGAAAGCGCCGACGAAAGCTCACTCTCCGCTCGCTCCGTTTCGTTTCCCGCCGATTTTCCGGGCGATCCCCGATTCCCGCGCAGTTCCCGATTCCCGGGCGATGCCGCTCCCTCGCCTATAGGTCACCTCGAGGCCTCCCCCGTTGTTTGTTTTTTTCCACGACTTTCCGTTTCGAGGCTCCGCTCTTTCGCTCGGCCCGCCAGGACTCTCGTATTCGGCGGTTTCCGTCGTCGGTTGACCTTTCTCTCCGGTCTCCGGACGTCCCCAGTGGTCACTAACACGCTTCCGGTGTAAGTGTGTGTGTGTTTTTTTTTCGGACTGATCTTTGGGATTAATTGAAGGAACTTTCGCATCCGAGGTTCCGTATCACACATTTTGGTAAGTGAAACTGATAAGTATTTTTCAACGCTTTGTATATTGCATCTACTACTCTTCTTTATCTTCATCCTATACTTCTCTTCTCTTTCTCCACATTCTTTTTTTGACCAGGGCATGAGCCCTGTTTGCAACAATTAGTGCATTAGACACTTATAAAAGGGATAAAATGAATCAAATTCATAACTACTAGTACAAGCGATAAGTATCGTTCAAATGTTTGCACATCGCATAGCTTCTTTTTTATCTTTTTCTTTCTTTGACCCGGGCATATGTCCTGTTTTACAACCAATACCATATCAGGCACTTACAAAACGCAAAAAATTGATGAAAAAAGGGCATATATTATACAAATTTGTCTGTATCCTAATGGACAGTTGTCAAAAATTTAAAAAAGAAACATATTCATTCTTCTTCCAGGAATGAGAGCTGGTGGATTTGAGCGGTCATCCAGGCACATTCCTCTCTCGCGGTTGCATTTGTATTTTTTAATAAAATATTATAATTAAAAAAGTGAAATTAATAATGAAAGTCATCGGAAGATGTTTCTAAAAATGATTCATTGATATATATCTATTTCGTGCAATTAGCCCTAACACTAACAGGCACTACAGCTAACGTGACATCATGTACGGAAATACGCAGGGTAATAAAACAAGCCACTACGAAAACGACTATGGTAGTGATAAGTTCATAGCATTACACTTATAAATCTTCTAAAAATAATACAAAATTGTTTGCCTAAAAAAAATTTGAGCATAGTAGTTCATCTGGTAACTTCTGTAAAGGAAAGAAGAGGAGTTTCTGAGGTGCGGATTCGGGAAGGTGACTCTCGCTTTTAATTTTTCAAATTTTTCTGTAATTGTGTTGTCATTGTTTGTTATCGATGCTGAAAGATGGCGTTCTACCCGACACAAGTCTTCTTAGTCGGTAAAACCTGTCCCTTTTGTATTTTCCTTTTATTGCTCTTTACTCAATTTTTTAGAAATTTTACGATAACTCGTAAATATATTTTTACATGCATACATACAAGCCGCTATCATAGCTCTCTATAGCGCTCTGCGACACCCAACCGCCAAAGTCCCCTATCCTCCGATAGTCCCTCAGGGAGTTGGCACTCACTCATTTCTTCTAAAACCCCCTGTTGCTACCCTCTCACTGAACATCCCCTCCGTCTCCTCCCAGGAGGAACCCAATCAAGTATCTTCCTCGGCGGCCTATATTCCGCCATCCTGTTAACATGACCCTACCAGACAAGCTGTTTGGTCATGACGTCGAATACGATGCTATTTCCGACCTCAACGAACAAAAAAAATTATGTATCATACACATAAAAGCAGAAAATTTCGGTCACATGTAAACTGGAAGTGCGAAGATCTATATTAGCCGTGATATTCGATTCATGTGACCGGGCCTTCGATGTCAGGAACTATATCCTCGGTTTTGGGAAGTGTATTTTCGGTCCAGACAACCAAGCTACCTTCATACTTCAGTTTGATTTGAAAGTTCGGGATGCATGAACAGAGGATACAGATCCTACGGATACATGAACCAAATAGTGCAGCTGATATACTGCCTTGATAAGGAGAAACACCGTATAAGCCTTCAAACGTTGCAAAATTTCCTTTGGTATATAACACGAATTTTCAGAGAAACTTGTGTGCATTTTCTCCCAATTTTCCAGGGAATTTCATTCGGAATTAAATCTTCAGTATTTGAAAATTTCGAGGAAAATGAGCCTATTTCTGCAATACGGAACCAGAGACAGGTGGGAAAGAATGGGTGTGCTCGTTAGTCGAAGGCCGTAACGATGAATAGGAATTATTAAGCGCCAGTGACGTCAGCGGCGTCGACGGAAGCGACGACGCCCGGCAACGCGTCCTTTAACTCATGAACCCTGTCCACAACGCTCTTTTACCATGCCCATGGCTCATAAGTGCCGCATACAGTTGGCGCTTATTTCCGTTATGTAGAATGGATAATTCACTTTTCCATTTTCCCGAAGAGTATCAAGTCCACTTTTACATTGTTTCTTATTCAGCTTCCTAGAGCACACCCCATCTTTACCGGTCATCTATATAGTTCCGTTAAGCAGAATTTGTCCAAAAATTCATTAAATTTCTCCCGAATGAATGTTTAACGCGGGGAAATTTGGCAACATCTGGATTTTCATACTGCGTTTTTCCTTAGCCTGGTAGTATACAACACCGTATACTAACTGTTCGACAGACCGAACTTTCTTTCCCAGCTCCAATCGTATTATCTGATTACGGACTCAATTTGGAGAGCGAAGAGTTCAGACTCATCATACGTATGTTACGTTACATTAATAAGATCAGATCATAGCACTGGAACCATGAGGGATGCGTGATACGTTGAGGGTCCCCAACATCGAGTCACACATTTCCTCCAGGAAATCTCTCAGCGAATAAACTGGCATTACAAATTAGTGCCAGCCCGATGAACACATACATATCCATCCCGAATTCAATTAGCCATTGTATGTTCGTTGGAATATGAGGCGCGTGCCAAATTCGAGGATGACCGCTTGCGGGCCCCGGACCAGGCTCGCCAATCCAAAACCGCATATTCACATAGGACATCCCTGGAACTTACGAGGTTCTAGATTCAACGAATTGTGACGCGAGCTCAGTTGGCAGTGCGGCACTCAGGCAAAACCGCAGATCTTCGTGTAGTTTTCATAGCAGTTACGGGGTTTTTCGCTGGGACGGGCGACACCACGCAAAACTCGCCCCCGACCATTGCCAACTTGACCGAAGCAGAGCTAACGCTTCATCATCCAGGCGGCAGACATAAGGGACGCTGTCATAATGTCATAACCAAGAACTCACATCCTCGGCCACCCTCGATCCATAACGCGGCCCATTGACTGTCGAATCGCTCGAATTGCCGGCTACAGGCTGCCCAATAAGTGAAAACATTCGCTGCAAGACTTCAGTCAAAATGTATCTTTGTATTATGCTGTGAGATCTCTCCGAGTCGAATTATGGTAAAGAGGAAATCCCGCTTAAGTTGGAAATTCATTCGGTCCTTAAATACCATCGAAAAGGCAATGTAAAAAATACTATAATTAAGATGATTTTGTGACCCTTGTAGCGAAGGACGAAAAAAAGTTCACGGATTAGCTGACAAAAATTCGATTTTATATCTAATCAAGAGGAAGAAGCTATTTTAAAAGAAAGAAACGTTTTAAAAAAATGCTTAATATGACGGATCTGTATTCTTGAAAAAAAATGCAGAAGTATGATCTTCAAAATTTTTAATTTTCAATTTCCTACGGTGATTTGTTGAAAGTATACTGATAAAATTTGAAAATTCACTTAGAATAGAAAATTTAAAATTTATAGTTGTTTATTAAAAAATTTGGAAAATTTACCTAAAAATCACATTTAGGTTAAAATGACAGTGAACGGTATTAACACTCTGAAAAACACAAGACGTGAAAGGAGCATTGCTCTATTAAGGAGCATGCCAAACCTATCGTAGAGTGCGATTTGATTCAAGTAGACTACATTTTCTTCTGAGCGAGGAATTCAAATTTTCACTGACTAATGTGAGCGAAAAACGTTAAAATCTTAGTTAGGAGTTGATTCCTGTAATTTTCGTTGCGCAAGTCGTGTTCTGCACGAACTTTGATCGGGGAACATGTATCAGAATGCTTGAATTCGCACGCCAGTGGTTAATTAGACAGACTCGCACACTTTTATTTGGCCACATCTGTACCATCAGGAATAGTGTATACATTTCTGTGCTGAATGGTTAGGTTATGCAGAATGCATCTCTCGGTGCGTAATCGCGGTCATTTTAAATAAAATGTAGTTAATTCGATAAATAAAAAGGTTTCAGCTCCGGAAAATCCCCTTCAATATTGCTTAATGATCTCATATAAAAGTATGGAAACTTTCGATGCGATATTTTTGTTCGTTCTATTTGCTTTTAATTTAACCCCCGAAATAAATAATTATATCTCATCCGAGTTTCTGAATCGTTACAATGAGGATGCATAATTTTCCTTTAATTATAGTAAAAACTGGAGCAGAAATTCAAGAATGATGACACGCAGTCCGACAGCATTCCTACAATCTTGTAGGCGCCAATATGCGTTTCGCGCAAACTGACCGACAGCACTGCGTTTGATGCAATGCGAGAAGTATTCATGCAGTCTTGTAGGCGCTACTCACGCGCCGACCGCACTGTTTGGCGCAATGCGTGAAGTATTCCAAAAGTCTTGCAGGCGCTAATATACGTTTAACGCCGGCCGCACTGTGATTACTGCAACGCGAAGTGCTTAAAAGGACCATGGTGTGTTTCGACGCTGTATGATCATTCCAACGTTGCCTCGTTTCTCCCGATTGAATATTTTTTCCGAGAAAAGTTATCACCAATATCACCAAGCTACGCAACCGAGCATAATTAGTTGCCTACGCAATATCTGTCTTCATTATAAACGCAATTCCCGGTAACGTGAGTCAGATGAGAGGGCAGCTCGTAGGATTTAGAGAACAATAACTTTGATTACTGTACTGCTGTGCTAAGGAAAAACGCCGTATGAGCATTCGAATGTTGCCGAATTGCCTCTCAGGAAATTATTATTTTTGAAGAACTTCCTGAATATTTATCCTTGAAATTTTCAGACATGTTAGATCAAATTAGGAGCAAGTTTCTCCGAAAAATTCGAAGACAAATGTATACAAATTTTCTCGAAAATTCGTGATTGGTCGAAGGAAATTTGACATCGCCTCAGAGAGATTTGGCTCATACGGCGTTTTTCCCCAGCACGGCAGTGTAGGAAATCTTACGTACATAAGCTAAATTTTCCAATGAATTTTAAAAACCACACCATGAGATTCCTTTTATCGCTCGGACCGGTTTCATCCATTTTCATACACACTCCGATCTCGGAGGATGAAAGACCAGCTGCCGTACCCTTTTCATCGGCCTGGAAGACTGTATTTTCGGACCAATTTCATCACGAACACCCTATGCGTTAGTGATGTTTTATGTATTGCGTTCGCTAATGGCGCAGTGTGTACGACTATGGGCGATGTACTTCCGAAGAAGTTGGCGTATGAGATGGCTAAAATTAAATTAGAGGATTTATGAGACTTCCCTCCAGAACTAATCCGACAAATCATAAAGCTGCTCGGCTGTAATAAAAACATAGTTTGACTCGCATCAGTCCATACGCGTATATTTTTAGGTATTGTTCCCAAGATGGTAAAAAAGTATAGTTTGGTCTTAAGCGTTTTCAAGAATTCCTCTCTCATTCCGTTTATTCCCTCAGTTTCCTGGTCCATTCCAGTTTCTAATCTTTGGAACCTATGAAAAGGCAATATTTTTGCCCCTTTGTGACACCCATCAAACCTAAAAACGGAAGCCCATAAGAAATCGTCATTCCTTGGACGAAGAAACGTAACTTCATTCCAGAGTTGCAAAATTGATTCGAACAATTAAGTTTTTTTGCAAAAAAGTAACCGTGCAAATTTTATCGAAAATTGTTCTGATTTTGCATGATATTTGACAAATAATCAGTGGAATTTTCAGGTGTGACCGAGATTCTCCTAATAAAAATGCAATTTGCGAGAGGAAATTTGGCCATATTAATAATCAGTGAAATTTTCAGGCATGCCTGAGATTCTTCCGATAAAAATGAAATCGGTGAGAGGAAATTTGGCAACATTTATATGAAGTTACGTTCTTTCGTGGGAGCAACGACGAAATGGATTCCACATCGCGCTACTCCGTGTATAAAGGGACACTAGTAGCTCCGAAATCAGTCTAAGCTGAGTTATTGAATTTTGTTGAATTATTTGGATTGCATTTTGCAAAAAGGAACCAAGAGCATTCCAATGTTGCTAGGATTGTGCAACTTAAATTCTTTGCAAATCTTACTGAAAACATGAAAAAAATTAAATTTACCAAGGTAATTTTCGTCTTGAATTCATAGTTTATTGGGAGTTACGATAAAATTTGCTTATGATCTGTCTATATTTGCAAGGTGAAAACAGTTACACAATCTTAGCGACATTGAAATGCTCCTGGTTCCTTTTTGCAAAATGCAATCCATTTTTTAAAGCACAATTGCCTCCAAAATTGACTAATGAGTGTCTCCTCGTCTGTTGCAGAGAAAATGCGCCAGGCCCCCGTCCGCACAATCGAGCGGCTTTTCCGAGCCTTCATCGTGCTGGTCTGCCTGTCCCTGCCGACGGTGCTGGGGCTCCCACTCTACGGCGGCAAACGCTTCGCCCGCTCCAGCCTCCACTACCCCCAACGCTCGGCCTCCGCCCTCCAGTGGACCCCGCTCCCGTTCGCCGCCTACCAGCCCCGCGTCACGCGCTACTACCCACCCTACTCGCAGGACTACTCCCTCGAGGACTACTACCCCCAGGCCGCCTACTACTACACCCCACCAGCGGCTGAAGACGCCACCTACCCCTACTACTACGTCGACCGCCCCGCCGGCTACTACGCCTACAAAGACCCCTACGAAGAACCCTACGAGGAAGAACCCACCGACTATGAGTTCGCCGAGCGGCGACCGTGGTTCGACGACTCCAACGACCTAGACACCCAGAACTCGGACGCTATTTCAGGCACTATCGTTTTCGGGCCGGCACAATCAACCGCCCGGCGGGACGACACTCCGATCACCTACGGCAAGAAGAAGCTCTCGAAGTACGACGATGAGGACGAGGATGTTCGCGAGTTGAAGAGCTTGATCTACGGCGAGGCGAAGCCGCCGAAGAAGCACCATCACGACTCGGACTCCGACGAACAGAGTGTCTACATAGCAGAGCGCGACGGGGTGTTCGACCTGCCGCGGGCCCGGTGGCCGAAGAAGAGCGCGCTGAAGCCGCTGCCGCCGCTGAGCCGGGCCCAGCCGGAGCTCTTCGAGGAGCCGCACCGCGTGAGCGACCGCAAGACGCCGTCCTCGGTCCCGGCGCCGGCGCCCACCCTCCCGACGAGCACGCCCAAGAACGGGCAGAAGGAGGAGCTCTACCACCGGCCGGCGGGCAGCATCCAGCTGGCGGCTGTCCGGCCTCACGGCAGCCCGTCGGTTATCGATACCATCAAGTCGCTCCTCAGTCTGGAGGATAGTCTCAACAAGGTAAGCTTTCGACCACACTTTCGATATTATTATCAAGATGGTACACTGAAGAAAAAACTCCGGCCGTAGAACACAGAAAAAAAATTATCGGTCCAAAGTCCGTTGGTACCATTACCATCTCACTTTTTTTACCAATTATTGGTAATTTTATCAAGACAGACTGGTAAGCTTACCTAAAAACCGGTATTTTTACTGTTTTTTTCAGGTAAGAATACCACTTTCATTGGTAATCAATTCCCGGTAACTTTGCCATTTTATCTCGGTAATTCTACCACAATCGATAAAAATATATTGACATTTTTACCGGGGTCCAGTAAAATTACCGAGAAAGTCAATAATGTTACGGAGATTTCTCGGTAAAATTACCAATTCCATAAATGGTATTTTTACCAAGAAAAAACTGGGATCAAATAGTACCCTGAATTCTTGGTAATTCTACCCTTTTCTTAGTAAATACACCGAGATTTTTTTTTAGTGAATCGGCATTTACGGACTAGATAGACATACCGTCCACGTTCCGGGCTCGGAGGCCGAGATTTCCGGGTGCTGGAGCCGTAGCACGTAGCTTCGATTGCTCCGGCTCCAGCACCCGGAACTTTCGGTCTCTGAGCCCGGAACGGACGGTATGTCTATATACCCGTAACTTTTTATTCGGTGTAGATTAGTGCTGCGGGTTGATTGTTGAAAATAGTCAAAGCTACAGACAAAAAAGACATAGGGAGTATGGAGCGATCCTATTGTATGAAGTAGGTGGTTCCTAATAGACCAAAGGAGAAAATGATGAGCTAACTATAGGGTATCTTGTTGGTTGCCGTTAGTTTCTCTATTACTTTTGCCTATAAATCATTTGTCCATTGAAACCACCGGTTGCCACCAATAGGACTCCTCCTCATGCCTTTTGTATTCTTCGTCTATGGCTTTGTCTCTCAATTTCAGTAATCATTAGACTGTTACCAATACGATTCGGGCTTGTATCTGCCCGGCTATTAAAAATAACACGTTATTACCTAATGATATACTCGCTATTTTTAACAGTTTTCTTTAAGCTGAAGGAATTTATAAAAATGTTACAATACCACAGTAATGAAAATATGTTTTTCATCGAGAACCAGGCGTTCACTACTCAGGCAGAAAAATCGAGAAAATACAGAAACAATTGGACAAGTCTTCGCGGACTGCCCGGTGACTCTCTGGAGAATAAACTTTATATTTATATCCATTTTGCTTTGAAATGTGTCTCGCTCTGTTGTGGGTTCCGATATGATTCATACCTATAATCGAATGAAAATGTATTTGTTCTACAGTGGGAGTGGAAAAATATTGTGATTCGTTTAGAAAAACAACGCAAGTAAGGTTGGAAAAAACAATGAGCACAGCTTCAGTAAAAACATGTGTACAAGTGTGTGGGAGATGTGACATTTGTAGCCTCCATCGATGTAGCTTTCGGTGAAATTATGAAAGAGTACCTTCCACCTCCCACACGAACACTTTTTTCCATTAAGTGGTAGATCGCATTTGTTTACTGCGAAGTTCCTCATAAGCTGAAATCATCAATATAGTATAGACCTCATCCATTATTATTGATTCGATACTGAAAGTAAATAAACATTTGTGCAAGGAAAAAGTTTCCTTTGGAGAAAATAAGTAAAGGAACTTACTATTTTGGTCAGTATGAATTGATGTCAGTGCATTGATGCCTATGTTACACGCAAGGAATACGGCCAACTGAGCGATCTCTAATGGGTAAAATTGCAAGAAAAGTACATTGAACGCATATCGGAAATATTCATAAGACACTTTTTAACGCACAATTTTCGCTGTCCATAACCAGCATTTTTAAGTTTATCGCGTCCAAAGGAGCTTCAGTCTCACTCATTATACCCAATTGTCTGTGTTTGCTCAGAGCGAAACATCATATTTAATCATTTTCAAACGGTCTTTTCTTTCTATCCTTAAGTTGCAAAATCAAACGCTTTAAAATTATTGTAATCAGTTGTAAGAAAGATTTGAAGCGTTTTCGAGGTTGTTTTATTTCATTTAGGTAAGGTTTTCATAAATCTCCCTTTAGAAGTACTTGATTGAAAGCGGCTAAGAAAAAAAAGTCTGCGGATGCAATAAAGAAAATCCGTCAAATGAAGTATGCAAATTATGTGTTTGAAAAAGGTTTTAGACATTTCGTCATTGATTTTTTGTGCGATATTATTGGTCTTATCTGCACTTCTTGCATGCAACATACCCACTGCATTCAGAGCCGAACATTTTTCGACCAGTTATACAGGGTAATCTAAAAGTTCCGAGCAACCAGCGCTAGGTATCACTCCTGTAACTATGCTTGAAATTGTGTGAGTGCTCTTAGGTCAAAGGAGACGACTCTCGGCAAATTCCAAAATTTTAAAGGGACCACCCTGAAAAACGGGCAAGAACCCGAGGGATTATGAGGATGGTACGGAACTTTTGAATCACCCTGTACGTTCGGGTTCGGGAAAAAGAAGTCTTAAACAAAACGCTGAAACTTTGCAATCCAGTTCGATCGATTCTGCTTCGGGGCGTCCAATTAGGGTAATGGAACACGACATGACAACGGTGGCCGGAATCTAGAGGGGACATTTTCGGCTAGTTAAATGGTTCAACGCACGGCGGCTCGGCCAGACTCTGAATGAAAATATTTTTTGGGCTCCTCGGAGGGGGCACCGGGGGGCCAAGGGGGACGATAAAAATAGCGGTGACAGCGGAAAAGACGAACTCGGCAAGTGGAAAATAAACATGCGACTGCGAGCCATCGTTGCAACACCTATTCGTCCATGCGTCGTAGATCGATTGTCCACTTCAAACACAACTAAAATATTAAAGGTGCCCAGAGAATTCGCATTTCCAGCGGGTTGAATGAAGTTAATCTGTTTGAGTTTCTAAAAAAGAAGTTCGGTGCGTTACGATGAGATAATATGTGATAGTCCACGGGAAAAGGACTTTAGTCCACAAATATTCAAGCTCGATATTCTGCCGTTCTCAGGAAACCGCCCTAAGAGCATTCGAATATTGCCAGATATTTCCACAGAAAATATCAATTTTTGAAGAAAGCCATGTGTATTTTTCATTAACATTTTTTTATATATTAGGTCAAATTACGAAAAAAACTCTCTGAAAAATCGGAAGAAAAGTATGCATGAGTTTTTCCGAAAATACATGATTTGTCAAAGGCTATTTGACGACATCTGAAGGCTGATGCGGCGTTTTTAGCGAGGCAGTATTGGTATTCGAGGCACACAGTCGTGCTCTGCGAACAATTTGAGACCAAAAAAACCCGCCCAAATCGTCGATTTCCAACCAACGGAACGTCACTCCATTCCAAATTGCAAGGCAGCGCCGGCGCAGAATGGAACGAGCTAATAGAAGAGGTCGGACATGAAATTTTTTGCTAAAAATGCAAATTTTAATGTTTAATTTGTCACATTATAAATTTTGAGGGGTGCTCATAGAAGAAAATTTTACGAGGAAACCAATGGAATCACTTTTAACATCTCACAGCTTTTAGATTATGTTCAGCTTGAACGAGAGGATTGAGCCATACTTTTGAATCGGCAACTATTCGAACATAACAGTGCTCGGCTGCATACATCTTTCAATTGAAGGGAATGTGCTGTAGGGATAAGTGCTGTCCGAATGGAGTCATGAGCTTTTAAAGTTTCTAAATCTTGTCCAACCTCTTCCATTGACCCGACCCACTGTGTGGTGTCCCTTTTAATCCGCACAATAATCCACGGTCCACAAGTGCGAGAGCTAAATTAGGTGGGAAGAGCCGTAAAGATAACCCCAGGGCGGGAAGAGTGAAGTCACGACTCACGAGGTGATTCAGAAAGGGATGCTGTACATGGCGATGCGAGGGAGGAGAATGAAATCGAGAGAACGAAGGGCAGAAAGGACGGTAGCTGTATCGGGTGCGACCGGGGACCGAGACAAATATAACTATGTCCATTTACTTTTCTCTTTCAATGGCCATGGTGTAATTTATATTAATAACGGTAGCGTCTTCACGCCTCGAGACAACACTCGCCGAGTTGCACTTTCGGATGTTGTCACATACCTCTGGTAATTCATCGGTTGCTGAAGTGACAAAATGCGCATCTACATCGCAAAGTTCGAAACGATTGTGGACTAGGTGAAAGGCGAAAAAAATCAGGGAATCAAAAAATGAACAAATTAGGGAAACCGTGATTTCTGTATATGAAATTTCTGAAATAGCATTGTATTTACTTCTTTTCTCTCGGAATCATTCAGAATCCACTGAAAGCTAGTGATTGCGTAGCTGACGTAACCACACGGTAACGATTCCCCTTCAATTGAAAGATGTATGCAACCGAGCACTGTTGCGTTCGAATAGTTGCCGATCTGAAAGTATGGCTCAATCCTCTCATTCAAGCTGAACATAATCTAAAATCCAGCCAGACAGAGATTGTGGCCGCCGTGGTTTCCTCGAGGTTGGGTTTGTCTATAACGAGCCCTAAATGCGCCATTAGACCTAAGACCTAAGACTTGTGAACGTGTCAGGAAATGGCACAGAAATGGTGATGATCTCTCCATATGAAGATCTTTCTCCCATCAATAAGGCTTTTGATTGGAGGAGGGCTTTCATATCGAGAGATACGGCACCTTTTTTTTTTTCGAAAAAAAAGGTGCGAATCGAGGCTATTCTGCCGTCCTAAGAAAAAACGTCGTATTAGATCTGGGAAAAGAAAAGAATAAGAGACAGATGTCACATCCGAAAATTGCACCATTCAGCAGATATTTACATGCTAACCAATGAGCCAACTGATGATTGATGCATTCAGACTGATGTGACTTTCGTCTCTCCTTTTCTTTCCCCAGTTCTAACGTTCGACGGCTGCCAGGTGAATCGTGATAAAATATTTATTTTTGAGGAAATTTATGAATATCCTCCCTCGTAATTTTCAAATACTCTAACTTAAATTGCTAATGAAGGCCTCTGAATAATTGAAAGAAAA